GAGAGAACAATCATGGGAGAAGGAAGGGCTGCTTATGCACAGGGAGACAGCTCAGGGGGCAGGAGAGTATGGAGAGATGGTCACTGGGAAGAGGTAACTATGGGGAGGAAGTGGGAGGGGAGCTGTTGCATTGTGGTAAACTAGTCAATGACATGAGACAAAGTATATGTGTTCATATGCTGTATGGAAAGTGAATTTGCTCTGTAAATCTTCACCCAAATCACAATAAATTAAAAAAAAAAAAAGAATATACATGCGAAAACAGATAAAAGTTATGAAAATGTGCAGTAGAGATGGGATCAGATGCCGAAGCAATTTGACAAAGGGTTTTAAGAATTTTAAAAAATGTACCTACCCCTTCTGCTTAACAGTTCCCTTTCTACGAATAGATACCACACACCCAATGTGCAAGGATGCTTGCTGCTGTGTTATTTGTAACTATAGCAAAGAACTGGAAGTACCCCAAGTATCCATGAACAGGGGATGGTGAAACGATGGTGCAGTTATACAATGTAATGCTGAGCAATTGTTAAAAAGAAATGAGTGGGTCTGTATGTGCTGAGATAGGAAGAATCTCTTCAGAGATAACAGGATGCAGAACAGGAAGTACGGTATGACTCCATTTCTTTAAAAAATATTCTTCTGCCACTATCTTCAAGCCTTCATCTGTCAAATCTCCCCTTACTTGTCCAAGGTGACAATCATGCAGATGGTTTGTGTTGGGGTCACTTTTGGATATTAAAAGTGTGGGCCAACCTAATTTAAAATCCCAAGCTCTTTGTGTCTTCAAAATACAAAGAGCACCAAATGCAGATTTATTGCCTATCCTAGCCCTATGCTGACTAAATGATGTTTAGACAGCCAGCAGCTAGCATCCATTATAGAAAAGTCAAAACCCTTGAATCTCACCTTTACTTGAATTCCAGTAACTGTTCCAATAACATAGCACCTTTGTGCTTTGTCAGTTCTGGACTGGGTCCTTTCCTTAAAACAAGTTAAGTGTAATTAATAAATCACTGCTGTTCCTTGGGGTCAGGCTGGAGTGAGATGGGATGGGAGCCAGGATGGGCAGAAACAAACCACACACATGCAGCTTCTGGAAGCTTTGTTCTTTAATGAGCCATGGAGTGATTTGTTCAAGCTGTTTTTGTGTAGCCATACAGTACACATTTTGAACGACAAAAACTGCACCTTTTACAGATGATGTCTTTCTCTCCCCGTGCGAAAAAAAAAAAAAAAAATTACAAAGTGCCTGTTGATTGCATCAGGAATGTAATCAGTTTTGTGGGTGAGATAAATCATTCTTCTCATAGAATTTTACTATTAAACAGTAAAATGATATCATTTTTCAAAGGATACGTCCTTTTACAATACATACTCTTTTAAAATTTACACTCAGCATACTTATAAATTACTTTAAGTCCATTAAAATAATATAATACTAATCTGTAGTTCACACCCTTTCCACAGTAAATACAATTACTTGGTTTAAAGGGTGCAACGTTTGTATGACCTAAGAGGACTGATAAATATGCGTTAAGTATGGATGGATAGCAAGGTGATGAGACCCATTGGTGGGCTTTTTTCAGAACAGTTTCAGCCAAGAGACCAACAAGACCTAAACAGATCCACCTCCACAATCATCATTTTGCTGTTATTCTTTAATACCCTAAAACGGGGTGTGGTTCCAGAGAAAAATGGTTAAAAGTATTCCGGGGGAATAAAAAGAGAACTTCACAAATATCATGGAATTTTACTTCCAAGTCTAGGATAGTGTTGGGAAGTAGTGACGGGATGTTGTCACAAAATTATGGACAGACATACACATTTGTCGACAAAGAATGACCTAACCTTATGTCCAACTCCCCAGGAGAGAAGAGGGAGGGGAGGAAGTCTGGACCATGTTTCTTTTTAAAATTAACTTTGAACATATCCTGAGAATACTTTCTTTCTTCTAGTTCACCAAAGTGCTTGTGAAAGGAACACATTCATTTGTTACAGTGAAAACACTGCCCACAGGCAGTGCTGCGGGGCTGCAGAACCTCGCTGGACTTTCTCCTTTCAGCATACTCTCCTTCTGTGACCCCATCTCTGACAGTGAAAATTCTTATCGTGATGGAACACAGGATGGAAGTCTTCAGGAACCTCCCAGCAGGGCAGGAGCTCTAGTACTCTATTCCCTGACCTCAGACTCCTCTGTCCTGGCAAGGCTTACAACGGGAAGGGTCTATCTCCCTCTGTTTTCAGAAGCTCAGTGTGGCAGAATAATTAAAATGGCAGGAAGTACAAAGTACTTTACAAACTAAGTCTGTCACTTCCTGAATCCTGCCTATATTTGCTGGTAAAGTACTAATTCATTGCACTTTGTGATACAGAATATAACCCTAAAATCACACTTCTCTGCTGCCATTACATTGTCCGCAATGCCTGCACAATTAAGAGAGTAAGTCAGGTTCATTAGGCAGAATAGAAAATCCAAGCTGTGATTAGGGTTGGGAATGTGTAACGTGACTAAAATGCTCTGCATTTTGGAGTATGGGCTCCAAATGTGGAGCTGCCATATAGTTGCCATGCAGGGATTTGGGGCCTACAGGATCAAAGAAACAAACCAGCAAAGGAAAAGCAACAGGAAGACACATCTTTGACGCCTATTAAGGTTACATATTATGACTGTAATGCAGCATCACTTTGTGGTGATGTAACATTAACCGTGGAGAGGACCAGTTAAGAAGAGTTGAAAAAAGACACAGCACTCTGTCCTGACAATTTTTAAGGGTTATGGCTTCTTATCTTTATCCGGCTAACAATGCCCGTGACTGAGAACCACTGCTTCTCCTTTTCCCTCAGGAGGCTTCCATGCTTGCTCTCCACTCTTACAAACGCATGGATATCTCCTTCATGCTGCTTCCCCGCCAGCCCCATCACGGCAGCTTCTTAAATGACTAGAAATTCACAAATCTAGCAACTGAAGAACGAAGATTTTTTATTTAATTGTTTCCAAATTCAGGTTTCGGGTCCCTGAGAAAAATTATGAAGTCTCTTCACCTACTTCCTATAAAGTGACCGATACGAGTAGTTTTTTGTTTTTTAAACTGCCAAAAACTCCTCTTGCCAAAAAAAAAAAACAAAAACCACCAAAGATTTTGCGGGGAGAACATATGTCAAAATGTGTTCCCCAGGCCATTCCTCTGGGCCAAAGGAAATTACTCAACAACGGTCATCTCTTTTTCTGCACGTATGTAACAGACCATCTGGAGCAGGTGGAGAGGAGCAGTGGAGCGCAGCAGAGCGTGACTCTGCGAGAACACTGTACAGAAGGCCCCGAAGCCTGGCACTGGGTCCGGAGGCACCAGCAATCCCACTCTGACACACCCAAGAGAAAATTCAGACTTTTAAAAGCTTAACATTCATTATTCCTCAGGATAGTATCAACAAGGTGGCACATGTTTGTGGGATATAAAGGCTAATAGTGACTCAGTAACCATTCTCATTCTGAAGATTTTTAAATGCTTCCTTTCCCCGGTTCAATTCTGAACCAAGCCTAGGGAGAGGTAAGACTCCTGCTACCGTAGCTGCCACTCCAAGTCGGACCTCTGGGGCTGGACAGTAACTACTGAGGCAGTGGCGTGAGGTTCAGTGTTGTGTAACAGGTGAGACTCTGCCTTAATGAAAGACTTAACATTTCCATAACTTCAAGTCAATGAAGTATGAAAAGAAAGAATAACCAAAAGTCAGGTTATAGATAGTAAAGGCTCTTTTTCAGAACAGTGCATGTAGTAGTTAGACAAGATGCATTTAGTAACTTTAAAAATAAACATTTTCACATACTTATCTTAAGAAAGAGTATCATGTTTTTATACATTATTTTTCATATATTATAAATAGCAAAAACAGATTTCTAAATCCCACCAATTCTAAGAAGCTTAAAATGCTATTATAACATGGGTGTGTAGCGACACCAAGTGGTGAAAATGATGGTTACTTTTCCCTCACACAGGCATGAGTGGAGCTCACTCTCCTGTCCAATGGCCCTAATCTGTGGGAAGAAATTCCACGGGAAGGAGGAAAGCATAAGGTTAAAAAGAAATATGCATACTACATATATATATATATATATATACATATATATATATATATTACAGTAAACTTCAGTAACCAGGATATTAACAAAAATAGCTTCAAGTAGTCCTTGATTTTTTTTTCTTTTCATCTATTTAATACTGATGGTCTAATGAAAAAAAGGATAAAAGTTTTAGGTCATGTTAAAAACTTTTTTTTTTTTTTTTTTTTGGCAGCTTTCTGTAACACTTATTCATGCAATGTTGTGTGTAAATGTTTTGGGAGAAGGGACTAAATAGTCACAGTATCTGTCTGAGTTTGTAGTGAGAAGCCACCAGCAGATGGGCCTGTATATAATCTTCCATTTAATCTTTACAAAGAGAAAAACCTGGTTGAATTAGGATGAAACCCCTCCTGTTTAGGGGACATTTGTTGAAAACCAGACCTATGGATCTCCAGCTGGGAAGGGTCCATCAAGGGAAGTGGCACAATGAAATTTAGAAGACTCATCCAAGGATCCTTCAAACACCAGGGCTGAGGACTGCTGTTTTTCAATAAAGGGCTTTTTAGTACCATTTTTTTTCCCAACTACCAACAAAGAAAAAAAACTGGACCAAGGAACATGAGAACATTATGGTTAGTGAAGCTTCAGCCCATGCAATATATTTGGCAGGAACTAATAACTAGGAGTTAAACCAGCATTGATCGTTATGACTTCAAAACATCATCAAAAAGCAAAACATGTACTCATTGTCTTCACTGTATAACCAGATGTCCAAGACATGCTCTGATGGCTTAATGAAAACAACTGCTCTTTTACTTTCCCCAGAATATAACATGGAGTGTTCTTTTTTTTTCTTCAAAAATCTTAAAATAGAGGGCTCAAGCTTTTCTGTTATAAATCATTGGAAAAAAATCATATTCAACCCCAGTTCCTAACTATCCCAAAATAAACCCAAAAGCTTTTGCTTTCATAGTTTAGAAAGATTTATATTTTCTCCAACTGTCATATATCATTGGTCCCTTAGGCCCATATTGTCTTCCTCTCCCAGCTTAACCCTCCTCTTCTGGGAGGGGAAAAGGGTTTGGGAGACACAGCTGCAAAGACCTCCACAACTGACCAAAATGCCCAGGTCCTAGGTTGACTTTTAGTGAAATCTCAATTCAAACACAGCAGCCAAGGCACAGCTGGCACCAACACTAACAGGCTTCAAAGAGGCCTTTCCATTTCTGCAGGAGGCCTAGGAATTTAGCATACAAGGTCTTAGTTGTATGCTTGGGCAGGAGGCATGACCACAATTAGAACAGACTCTTGTGGACAAGGTGATGAGAAGAGGCCCCAAAGGTGAGATGTGTTTACCACTCTGTGGCCATGAAGGGACACACATCTGCTAGTTCAGACCATAAACTCATTATTTCCAAAGAGAGCTAGCTGTTGGGTAGAGCCGCAATCTGGGTCCACAGTTTTCTTACGGCCAGATACTATTGTCCCCTCTGGGGTCTCTTTGGTTTTCTGAGGTGAGTTTTTCACATTCTTTAATTTTTGTTTGCCCTTTTCAGGGTTGAATGTTCCTCTGCTAATGAACTGAGGTCTGTCTTCCAGGGATTTGGTCTGGCCCAATGGCCCTTCCATTCCCAGGGCCTCACCTGCTGAGGAAGCTCGGTAGAATGGAGATTTGGAATAAATTTGGAATCGCTTTCTGGTCCCATGAGAAGATGCAGTGCCAGGCAGACATAAAGAAGAGACCGAAGAGTCCACTGAATCCAAAGAGTCTTGCTGCTTTTTTAGCTGCTTCTGCAGCTTGCTTGAAGGTTCAGACTTGCCAGCTGTCTTCAGGGAGCTAAAGGCTAAGCTTCTCTCTGATGCAAAAAAGAGACCAAAAGTGTAAATGACAGTTCCGTCTAAAGCAAATCATCACATAATGAACAGACCTCACTGTTCACACATGAAGTCGACTGGGCTAAGATTTGAAGAATCCAGGCTGACCTACCTTGTGCATGGTCACAACTTAAGAAGCTCACCATCTATTTCTACATGTTTCATTTCAGAATCAACTCTAAGGCAATCTGGTGCTTGACTGCTTCTAGGAGAGGCTTAGAACTGTCATTATCATTTACAAAACTGCCAAATAGGTAGTAAATTCTATGTTCTCTTGAGACATGTCAACCAATTAAATATCTTCTTCAATTATTGTCCCATTTCACAGTGGGCCCAAATGTTGCTTTTGTTACCTGGAAATATATCAGTTCCTTAGAAAATGAGTCATGGGTCAGTAAGACAACTTGCGTTGTGACACTGTGATTATACAGGGGAAAACACTGAATTAGTATGAAAGCTGAATGAACAATTTCTATGGAAGGTTCACAATGATCAATAAATATTTCAACTCCTTAGGATTTTGTCCCTTATTCATGTGAGGTCAGGGCATTTGTGAAAGGACTTTATTTTTGTCTGGGAATCCTTAGTCATCCTTTGTGAAACAAATTTGTAGTCTAGCATGTTCATTTACCTGGTTTCTCTGACATAACACCTTCAGACTCAATATTTAAATTTTCTGAGCTATCAGCAGTCCCAATGGAGGCCTCAGACTCAAGGGTTTCATCATCAGAGGCACGAGGTTCCAGTACAAGCATTTCAAATGTTAGCTCCTCTCTGTAAGACACAGCCAGGAAACCATTAGCATTTGATAAAAAGTAGAAGGATGGTAACAGGAAAAAAGAACTTCCATTAAAGTCAGGAATCTAAGTCATGGAAAGTCACATTTCTTACTGTCCCCATCCAGGGTAATAATAAGAAGCTGTAAGTCAAGGTAACAGTGAAGGCCAAAACTATACTGACTAAAGGACAAAATGACAGACAACAAACATTAGGACCAATAATAGGGATGAGAGTGGGATGGGTGGGAAGAAGATGCTATAGCTGCAAGATCTTTAGGTAAAATGAATCCCGGACTAATAATTAGGAGATCAGGGTTCTAATCTTACTCTGAACTTGTTCATAATACATCAGAAAATTTCTTCTTTCTGGACCTCAGCTTCCTTATCCACAAAAAGATTAAACTAGACAATTTCTAGGATTCCTTCCAGCTCTATTTTGATCACAGAGAGATTGCTAGATGAAGAAAAACATTAAATGCATCTTTTCTGTCCTTTCAGGCTTATGCCATCACCAGTTATAGTGGTCTTTACTCCTCTTCATCACTGTCACCACCTGCCACTCAGTCATGTCCCTTTGTCCCTAAAGTCTTTGGTATTTGCTCCTCATTTTGTTTTTCCACTACTGCCTGACATCACTGTGATGTATTTCAATCAATATCTTTGTAAAAACACTTCAATTCCCTAACCCCTAATTTCTTTTATGCCTGCAACTTCCAACAAACCAGCCACTTCTCCCCAGAAGGCAGATCGCTGAGTTTGTCTTACCTGGAAATATTGTTGTTGTTGTTATGTGCCGTCAAGTTGGACCTGACTCATAGCGACCCCTCCTTGCGTTTCTAAGGCAGTATCACTACGGAAGTAGATTGTCCCATCTTCCTTCCGAGGAGTGGCAGGTGGATTTGAACCATCAGCCTTCTGGTTAGCAGTCAAGTGCCTTAGCCATTATGCTACCAGAGCTCCTACCTGGAAATATATCAGCTCTGAAATCCAACGCTCTACTTTCTGTCAACAATTTCCTTATCCTTCTTACTCTCTTCTTCACTAAGTCTCCAACCTATCAGAGCCCTGTTAGTTTCACTTCCACGCTGCCTCACGGACAATCTTTTCAAAAATAGTCTCACCAGCAAGTCATTATTACAGCTACAATTGCCAAAAATCATGTGCATTCACACCTCTGAGAAATGGACCACACTTTTTCCTTTTTCTGGAAAGACTTTCCTATTCTTAGCAAATTCCTACTCTTCTTGCAAGATGTCTGATACCATCTTCATCAATGAACTCAGTTAAATCCTCTCTCCCTCTTTAAATCACTTTTATAGTAAATAGCCAGCCCCTGGTCAATGTATACACCACCATTAACCTTACATTATCATTACAACTGAGCCCCAGATGATTTTCTGCTTGCCCAAATTCCAGAATCAGTCCTGACAGGTGAAAATTACTTTAACAGTCTCATACCCTTACGGATCATGCTGTCAGATCTGGAATCCTGAAACTCAGGAATAAAAATCCCTTTAAGACTTATTAAGAGTCAGCATTGCCAACCAGAACTAAAACAGAGTACCTTCAGAACCATGAGATATTCATATTATCCCAAGGTCACGCTACCCCTATCTCAGTGATGCTGGAGGCCACAGAGCTTCTTACTTGTCTCTCTCCTAAACTACAACCCATTTCCCTAGGCAGTATCCCAGCATCCACTAGAGTTGCCACCTTACCCTGACCATCCAGTTGCTGGTCCCATAATCATACTGATCTATAGATAATAACCTTCCCTCATGGAATTGTGAATAATGCCCATTCTTAAAACGGACTTTGTCTTAGCCTGGGAATGCCAGCTCTCCTTTGGAAAACAAATCTGTTCAATGAGGCTGGTCTCTGCCTTGTCAAGACTCCATTACCTCATCTTGGATATCCACTATTGCTGCCAGCTGAATCTTGACAAAGACTAACATACCACTTGGGTACTGGGTCCTTCTCCTAGTCAGTCTCTTCAGAATTATCACTGTAGCAGCATCAGGCTTCCCAGCTCACGGCGCTTCCTTACCTGAGGTGATAACTTTCACACTACTGCCCAAGTACAGGCATCATGTCTTTGTCATCTCCACATCCCTTATTATCACCTGACATAATGTTTGACACATAGGAAACTTCAGGGAATAAGTAAGTAAAAGAAAGGAGGGAAGGAAGGAAGGAAATGAAAATGGTAAAGAACTTGTCTCTCCTCTTTCTCCTGGAAACTCACTTCTCTTTCTGCAGATTTTCTATTTGCTCAGTCAGTACTCTCTCCTCCTGCTGCATAGCTGCCTGCTGCTGTTCTGTGATGTCAGTCTCCATGGCGGCCTCACTAGTCAAGGCCTCTTCAGGGACATTGGACATGGAGGGCAGTCGAACTACAACAGGAGAGGAAGGAGTTGGATGGTTTCCTCGACGAATACGCCCCTTTCCCTGCAGAGAAAATCCATGTTAAAACATAAATTGAGTGACTGCATTGGTTTCATGTGGCCCAGTCAGGAAAACAAGCAAGTGTACTTTCATCACATCAGGTGAATATTAGGAAAAAAATGTAAACATTCTGCAAAGCCTAGGATATTTTGTGAAACACTATTCATTGAACGCATTCAATTATTTCTTGCAAGAGCACTAGAAAGTGGACACTTAAGCGGATGGGAGTATAGGAACACATGTCTACTAAAATGAGATTCTTTTAAGCTACAGCCACCTCAATACAAATAACTACATGTGCCTTTTAAAATTTAATTGAAACTAAAGTAAAAATTCAGTTCTGCAATTGCACTAGCCACAGTTCAAGTACTTAATAGCCACAAGTGGACTACTTTATTGGATGGTGTTGATAGAGAATACTTCTATCACCACAGAACGTTCTGTGGGATAGTACTGCTCTGTAACTTTTACCTTGGAATGTGCAGGCTTTCTAGGAAGGCTACAGAAGCATGTCTGGACACACGGTTTGGGAGGCAGGGAAGTAGCTATTATTAGCACAGGGTACAAGTGAGATAAATTCTCTGAGAATTACTCAAGAAACTACTATTCCTGAGATCAGGGGGGGAAAAACTCATTGCTTTTAAAACTGACTATGACTGCAGTTTCTGATCATAGTAGACTAGATATTTCAGATTAAATCTCCTACTAAGAAGAACTGGACCAAACATTAAAAAAATCACTATATGCTTTAAGGCAATGGAGAACTAACAAGGTAGACCAAGAAGAATCTACCCCAGCATTTAGGGCTGACCTATATTTCAAAAGGGGTGGCCAAAAGTCTGAGCTTTTGACAGACTATCTAGAGTAGGATTGGCAAACTACAGCCTGTGGACCAAATCTGAATGAGTGCGTGTTTTAGTAAATAAAGCACTACTGGAATACACTGATGCTCATTCATTTGCCTACTGCCTATGGCTGCTTTTGTGGAAAAACAGTAGAGTTAAATGTTGTGGCAGGCATTATATAGTCCACAAAATGTAAAATATTTACTCTCTGGTCCTTTACAAGGAGCTCTGGTAGCATAGTACCTAAGGCATCTGACTGCTAATCAGAAGGCTAGCGGCTCAAACCCACCAGCCACTCCTCAGAAGGAAGGTTGGGCAATGTACTTCTGGAGTGATGCCGCCTCGGAAGCCCAAGGAGGGGTTGCTTTAAGTCGGATCTGACTCCACGGCAGTGAGTTTGGTTTGCTTTTAGTTTTGGTCCATTACAGAAAAAGTGTGCCAATTGCTGAGGTAGAGAATAAAAGCTGGAGTCCAAACCTAGTCAAGTGTGTGTGGGTGGGGGGATAGGGGTTTGCTGTCTAATAAAACGCCTGTGCCTGACACCTGGTCCTGAAGGTCGGCATCTTAGGTTAAGAGAAAAACTGAAATTATAACAGTCTTTGAAGAGACTGTAGCCTAACATCAAGTCATCTGAATGGTCCAGAAACCTGTAATCCCTAAAACTGGATTACAGTAATCCTAGATTACTAGTGTCGTAGGACCTTGAAGGAAAAAAGTGAAAATATTCTTTGAAAGAAAGTTAACATCATCGCAGTCCCCAAACTGTCTGTACAAATAATTTTTCAAATACTCTGACATACAAAGATAACCAAGCACATAAGGAGACAAGACAAGGTGAATGAGAACCACTAAAAACAACAGAAAATAGAGATCCTCAATGACCTCAAATATTGTGGCTATTAGACTTAAAATAACCATGCTGAGGGATATAGTAAGATACAGTTAAAAATCTGGCAAAGAATTGGGAGCTATACAATACAATACAATAAAATAAAAAATGACAGGAGCATTGAAAAAGAACCAAAAAGAAATCTAGACTGAAAATATACCATAATCAGGTTTATTACTAATGCCAAAATGATTTAATAGCATTTTAGATGAAGAAGAAATAATAAGTGGGTTAGAAATGAGGGTCAGAAGTAAAGATCCAGAATGAAGCACAAAGAGATAAAAGAATGAAAAAATTCAGGAAAGAAGGTAAAAGCTAAGTGGACAGAAAAAAAAGTCCACCATGTTTAACTGTAATACCAGGAGAGAAGTGAGAGGCTATAGAAGAAATACTGCAAGAGACAATGGCAGAACATTTTCCAAAACCAATGAAAGATATCAACCTACAGAGTTAATAAAGTCTACATCCCTTAAGAATGATAAATAAAGGAGCAACAATTAGATTCAACGCTTATTTCTCAACAGAAACCACCCAGAAAACATTGAAATGATATTTTCAAAGTGATGAAAGGAAAAAGTAACTGCCAAACTAGAATTCTACATATAGCAAAAACATCTTTCAAAAGAATGAAAATGTTTGGCCTCATCTACCCTGAGACTAGAAGAACCAAATGGTGCCCAGCTACCACTACCAACATTTCTGATCAGGACCACAATAGAATGGGAGACAAATATGAAACAGAACTCAAATACTTAAAGAGTCCATACTTAATTGACCAGATGAAACTATACAATTCCCTAAAAATTCTGTTTTGAGATACACTTTAACCTTAAGCCAGTTATCCGAGGTTACTTGTTAGCTAAATAATGGATTGGATTATAAAATAAAGAATATTACTCATGAGTAATAAACTTCCTTGGGGAAAAAAAAAATCAACTACAGGAGACCAAATGGTCAAAGCAAAGATGAGAAGGGAAGGCAGGCAGGGAAACTAACCCAATCCAAAACCAAACCCACTTCTATTGAGTTGGTTCCAATTCATAGGAACCTTACAGGATAGAGTAGAACTGCTTCATAGGTTTTCCAAGGCTGTAAATCTTTACTGATACATCTTACTCTCATGAAGTAGCTGATGGGTTCGAACTACTGGTGTTTTGGTTAGAAGCTAAGCACTTTAACCACTGTGCCACCAGGGCTCCTTACAGGGAAACAAGAATACTGGAAATGATAAAACCAGAACAGAATGACTGAGAATGGCACATTGTGAAAAATATAACTAATATTACTGAATAATTTGTGTAGAATTGTTAAATGGGAACCTAATTTGCTGTGTAAACAAATGCTCACCTTAAACACAATAAAATATATATTTTAAAAAAGAAGAATGAAGGTATAGTTAGGACATTTTCTGGCAAACTAGGACAAAGAATCTCACCAAGAAACCTGCACTAAAGAAAATAACTACAGAGAAGATTGAGATGATCCAAGAAGAAAAGTCAGAGGTACGAGGAGAAATGAAAAGTAAAGAAAATGGTTAAGTGTGTAAGTCTCAATGAATACTGATTGCCTAAAACATAATAATACTGACATGTTGGATTTAAAATACACAAATAATTAAAGTACACCACAACAACAGTAACTATATCAGGAAGCAGATATGGCTAAAGCACATTAAAGTCCTTGCATTATCTGGGGAAAGGATGAAAGTACATTAAGATTAGACCTTGCTAGGTCATAGATTCATGTTGCAATCTCTACATCACCTATTAAAAGGATATAAAATTTCTAACAAAAGAAAAATGAAATTTAAAAAAGGTAGTAAAAAAGTAAAAAAAAGGCAAGAAAGAACAAAAAAGCAGGAAGAAAAGGAAGATACATCAGGTAGTGTGGTAGTTAAATTTATATGTCAACTTGGCTGGGCCTGGGTGAGTGGCTGGGCAGCTGATGGTAGTTATTCCCCATGATGAGACTGGCAATGAACTCCATGGTGAGATCTACCACAAGCAGCTAAGTAGCTGCCTTTGTGATGTGGTCTGCTTCCTGTACATAAAGAGAAGCCTTGGGGATAGTCTCTAGCTTATGGCACGCTTGGACCCTGCATGTAGCCTAGCCATGTTCAGCAGCCTGCCATGCTTTGCCGACCTTGGGAGTTACAATTGACTTGAATGAATGGCCTGCCATGTGGTTTGGTAACATTGGGACTATGCCTTTTTATTTGTCGACCTTAGGCTTCTCAGCCTCCGCAGCCAGTAAGTAGCTGCCTTACAGTTAAGTAGCAAGCCCAAGGTTGAGGGGCTTTCACACAGCCCCTAGAGCCCGGCACTTTGAACTTGGACTTAAAGCCTCCAAATTTTAAGAATGAACTGTTTGTTAAGGCCATCTCATTTGTGGTATATATTCCTGTCGAGTGGCACTAGGTAACCAGAACAGGTAGGATAAATAAAAAGCATATAATGAAACAGAGTATTGGTGATTACATTAATATAAATAGATTAAATGTTCCAGTTCAAATCTGAAGATTGTCAGACTGTAGTAAGAAAACCCAACTATATGATATTAGAAGGGACACACATGAAATGTTAAGAATCCAGAAAAGATGAAACAAAAGAATAGAAATAAAACGTACTGAAAAATAGGAATAAAAAGAAAGCTTGTACAGTTAAGTTATACCAATCCCACCCAAAGCAGACTTTAAGGTAAGAAGTGTTATCTGTGATGAATAGGAATATTTAACAACTTAAATTATGAAAAAGATGTTACATTTCCAAATTTGTATGTACCTAAGAAATTGCTTTGAAAGATTTAAAGTAGAAAACGGGCAGAACTACTCAAAAACATAATGAAAGCTATATAATCAGCTCGGAGAGAGCAAGTATTTACAATCAGTAGAGAGATAAAGCACTGAACACTTAATTAACATCAGTAATCTAATACACACACATGGATTCAGAAATCAGTACCCAAAATTATTTTAAAACACACAGCAAGAAAACAAATTTTCTAACGATTGAAATAATTTGACCATTACAGTAACTTAGTGTTTATGATAGTGAAATTATAAAGAAATGACAAAAAGCCTCCCTACTTTCAGAAATTAAGCAGTAGTCTAAAAAAAACCCATCGTTAAAGACAAATTACAACAAAAATTAAATTTCTTTAATTAAATGACAGTATCAAATTATGCAGGATACAACTTAAACTCTACCTGCCTTCAGAAAAAGTTATAGCCTCAAATGATATATTAAAAAAGAAGAAAAATTAAAAATTAA